TCTGATCTCATATTTGTTTTAAGAGACAACTGTCTGAAACATCCCCAAACACTACAGTACTTTAAACTCGTTTGTACTATGGCTGATCACATAGCATGCGGCATAACACTGAAACATTGTCAAAAATCCCCTCCGAGAAGGAGAACTTTCCCACCATATGCAACAAAAACAACCAAATTCGCGATCGACAATGACAGATAGAAACACATGCGTGAGATTGGCACCAGCAAGAGCTTTATATGTATCATGCATACCAAGTACCATTTATTTTTAAATTACCAGTGTGTGTCATATGTACCAGCAAGTTGGTAGGTCAGATGGTTGGATGGATGGACGGTTGGTCAGTTAGCCTTATAGATAGATAGATAGATAGTTAGATAGATAGATAGATAGATAGATAGATAGATAGATAGATAGATAGATAGATATTATGTGTATATACATATATATCCCCCTAGCACATAACATAAATGTGAAGGTATTGGGACCACATTCACTAGTTTGCGGCAATACATTTCCTAGGGGGAAACAAATGAGAACATGATATGAGTTGTACTGATATTTTGTCTAAAAGTGACTACAGACATGTGTACTGAGGATAAAGGGAAAAAATGTTGAGTTGTGCTTATAAAATCTCTCTCTCCCTTTTTAACCTCACCCTCCTGGACTCCCTGCCCCAGCCTGGACCTTCTCAGGCAGGCTGCATGGTCAGCAGAGGAACAGGACAAGGTGGGGATGCCCACGTGTCTCCAATGCCACCTTCACTGCCCTGAAATGAAATTCACATATGATATGACCTACTCTCACACAATTTTTAATAAAATCTATATTGTGCCCAAATCACTATTCAAAGAAATATAAAGGAAAAACCAAGAGTGATTTATACTAAAATACATATTTAAGTATGTAAATTCCTAATTATGACCATAGTAAAAAACATGCTAGTGCCCTAACCGGTTTGGTTCAGTGGATTGAGCGTCAGCCTGCGGACTCAAGGGTCCCGGGTTCGATTCCGGTCAAGGGCATGTACCTTGGTTGCGGGCACATCCCCAGTAGGGAGTGTGCAGGAGGCAGCTGATCGATGTTTCTCTCTCATCGATGTTTCTAACTCTCTATCCCTCTCCCTTCCTCTCTGTAAAAAAATAAATAAAATATATTTTTAAAAAAACATGCTAGTTACACACTTACTTTAATGCATTTGTCTTGATTTTTTTAAAATATGTTTTTATTGATTTCAGAAAGAGGGAGAGGGAGGGAGAGATAGAAACATCAATGATGAGAGAGAAACGTCGATCAGCTGCCTCCTACACACCCCCTATTGGAGACTAAGCCCAAAACCTGGGCATGTGCCCTGACTGGGAATTGAACTGTGACCTCCTGGTTCATGGGGTGATGCCCAACCACTGAGCAACACCAGCCGGGCTTGATTTTTTTTTTTTTAACGGAGTTCGGAAGCAATACTGTGCAAGAAGTAGAGGAAAATGGCAAACCAGTGGTAGGTGTGGACACAAGAATTTTGAAAACAAGTATATAGTTTGTATGTTAAAACCATCTACCAATTGCTTATATGTAAATGAATTAAACTCTAGACTCAGATAAGAGGGAAGCTTTCACCTGTGTGAACATCCAGGGTGACATTAAAGACACCTCAATGACATGCAGCACTGCTGGCCCCTATCAAGTATTGTGACAACCAAAATGCCACATATCTAGTTCTAAAACACGGCCTGGGAGGCACCACTGCACCTGTTGAGAAGATTTACCTCTGAGGGTGAATGAAAAACCAGGTGGGACAAGGGCAGGGAAGTCTGTGTGTCTTTTCATGGGGAGTTCTGATGTCATCTGGAGAGAGCCCAATGGAGGCATAATTTGCAGTGAGACACAAAGGAAGGGAACTGTGAAAAGTGACAGATTATGAGATGGATCCCTTCTGACACTCCCCAGGAAGCATTAGTGAAGTCTGAAATTGTTGTTAATGACCTTTATCTGTTTGGCCATGTTTCTCTGAATGGACCCTGCACAGCCTCACATCACAGGGGGCGCCCGTGTGATCACAGTCACCCACCAAAAGGAAAAGTACATGTATATTTGAGTTGATTTCTTCAATTTCACCATCTTTAAAAAATCATATCCAACAACAGAGCCACTTTCTCTACATCACTTTTTTCTCTTCAAGTAAAAAAAAGATTGTAGGAAAAATCAGTGGGTAATAGTTACCAAAAAGTGCCATGAAAAGGAATCTGTCTACCTCCCCTCCCCCTAAGAAATAATTTGGGATTTGCTCTTCAAAGTGCCAGCAGCAGCAGCAACTGGGAACTTTTGAGAATTACAGATCTCACCCACATTCGAGGAATCCAAACCTCTTTTTCACAGGAGTCTAGGTGACTGTGTACGTTGAAGATTCAAGTGGCAACACTTGCTTTTCTCAAGCTCAGTGAAAGTTCCTCTCCTCCCTGCTATTCATGGAAAATCATTGCTTAAAATGCTTCGTTGGATTAAAAAAAAAAAATAGGGCTCCCTGTCTTGTCCCACATTCTGTACTGCCCCCAAACTGTCCCTCAGAGCAGGGATGAATAATGTTCCATGCTGAGAGGAGTGGCCGGTGTGCCTCTTAGGAGCACATTCAGTCCTTTCTTTCTCATACAGAGGACCTTAACTATCCTGCTTGGTTGCTTGGGCATCCTCCCTTTAGCAGCACAATAAAGTATTTCCTCTGAAAACATATTCTTCTAAAGAATAATTTTAGTCAATAAAATTTCCTTTATCTTGTTATTTATTGCTCAGAATAGTAGGGCAATGAAGTTGTTATTATATACTTTGATCAGTTCATGTATGCCTCGATTTTTTAAAATGTGTATTTCCGAGCGGCCGCAGCGGCGACCACGAAGGCTGTCAGAGCTGGCGAGTGGCCGGGCGGAGCTGCCATGGAGCGACACCGCTGGCTGCCGCTGGAGGCCAACCCCGAGGTCACCAACCAGTTTCTCAAACAATTAGGCCTGCATCCTAAATGGCAATTTGTCCATGTATATGGAATGGATCCTGAACTCCTTAGCATGGTACCAAGACCAGTGTGTGCAGTATTACTTCTCTTCCCTATTACAGAACAGTATGAAGTATTCAGAACAGAAGAGGAGGAAAAAATAAAATCTCAGGGACAAGATGTTAAATCGTCAGTATATTTCATGAAGCAAACAATCAGCAATGCCTGTGGAACAATTGGACTGATCCATGCTATTGCCAACAATAAAGACAAGATGCATTTTGAATCTGGATCAACCTTGAAAAAATTTCTAGAGGAGTCTGTGTCAATGAGCCCTGAAGAACGAGCCAGATACCTGGAGAACTATGACGCTATTCGAGTTACTCATGAGACCAGTGCCCATGAAGGTCAGACTGAGGCACCAAATATAGATGAAAAAGTAGATCTTCATTTTATTGCATTAGTTCACGTAGATGGGCATCTCTATGAATTAGATGGACGAAAACCATTTCCAATTAACCATGGTGAAACTAGTGATGAAACGTTATTAGAGGATGCCATAGAAGTTTGCAAGAAGTTTATGGAACGTGACCCTGATGAATTGAGATTCAATGCAATTGCTCTTTCTGCAGCATAGTTTGTCAATAATGGAAACACCAAGTACTGTATTATTTGCAACAAAAATTTCACTTCTGCTGCCATACACTATCTCAAAAATTTTGATATTTTCATTAACTTGACTGATTAAACTTTATGTGAATTAAAAAAAATAAAATAAAATGTGTATTTCCAAATAAACAAGCTTGTAGGAAAGATAGAGGCTTAAGCTTCAAGAATGGTGAACCATCAGCCTCTGCTCCTTTTTATACCTACCCTGCACGTATCTGCCATTATCTCATTGGCTTCTCATCCCCACCTCTGCTATTCATGGCTTTTGTCTCCTAAGCATCCTCGTCCACAGCTTCTATTTGCTAGGGATACAGCTGGAACATCAATAGCTTTAGTTTATCAAATGAAATGAACTCTCAGGTGGTGTTTGCAAAACTGGTGAAGACCCCCCACAAATGCTCATTGCTAGTTCAGAGGCTATAATGAGTACATTTCCTAAGCAGCTTGATGGCATCCTAAGTCAACTTTAAAATCAAGAATATCAAAGTTGGAAGAAGCATAAAGATCCTATGATCAACTCTCCTTCTAAATCAGCATGCCTTCTGCACACACCTGCACAGTTATCCAGCCTACACCTGAACGTTTCTGGTGGGGAACACCTCAAGACCTGCCAAGCAGCCTATTCCATTGGCTCTGATTTGCCTGTTAGTCCTTTTATATGAGTCCAAATGTGCTCCATATAGCATTTTTAAAAAGTATTTTTAAAATTTATTTCAGAGAGGAAGGGAGAGGGAGAGAGAGATAGAAACATCAATGATGAGAGAGAATCATTGATCAGCTGCCTCTTGCACACCCCCTACTGGGGATCTAGCCCACAACCCGGGCATGTGCCCTTGACCGGAATCAAACCCAGGACCCTTCAGTCTGCAGGCTGACTCTCTGTCCACTGAGCCAAACCAGGTGGGGCCTCCATATAGCATTTTGCCAAGGATTCTCAAGCAAAACTTAATTCATTTCTTTCTTTCTTTCTTTCTTTCTTTCTTTCTTTCTTTCTTTCTTTCTTTCTTTCTTTCTGCCAGTGGGATGGCAACAGTGAGACAAAATAATTTTTTTTTTAAAAAATTAACCCCTCTTGGTTTCCTTAAAATTGGTTCAACATAATTCTAGACTTAAACATGACAAAATCTCAGTGGTGGTGGTCATCCATGTCCATAAATCTTGGAGATGCTACACATGCTACCTTGACCATAATTTTGATTGAGGCTACTGTTTTACGTCTAAAATGGGCATACTACAGAAGGGGAAACCATTCTGACATCTGATTCAGGTCTATGAGTTCATTCACACCCAAGAGATGACTGTAAGACAAGATTTCTCAACCTCAATGCTATTGATATTTTGGAAAAGACAACTTTTTGTTGTGGGGTTATTCTGTGCATTGTAAAATGTTTGGCAGGATTCCCTAGATGCCAGCAACACCCCCTCCCCCAGTCATAAGAATAAAAAATGTCTGCAGGTATTGCCAAAGGTCCCCTGGGGGACAGAATCTGCCCCAGTTGGGAACCACTGGAATGAGCTATATAATGTTCTCATTTGGTTTCTGTTTAATGTATGGAGTGATTTTTTAGAAACAGAATATGCTATATAGGAGCTTAATTTACCTTCTTAGAACAAATCCAGATATTGTTATATTGAGACAATGAAAGTTTTCTCATTACTTCAAGAAAACTGACCAAGAAAAATTAGCATTTCTTTCTTTATTACAATTAAGAGTTCTCGTTCCTTTGTGTATGAGTTTAGCTATTAGTGTACTGGTGTAGTTATTCGTTATGATTTTCTCAACCAACCTTTGAAACATTATTAACATCATATGTATGGTTTTTTGAAGCTTAATGGTTATAAGATATTCAAAATCAGGTTTGATCAATGCCATCATAATGAAGATTAAAATGTGATTGTGGGTTCCTCAAAAAACTACTGGAACAATTTATCACAGCCAGTCAGGTAGTCAATATAAACAAAACTTGCTGGAGAAAAACAATCACTAGCTTATGTAATACGAATTTAATCGATTTACTTTTATTATTAAAAAACTAATGGATAATTTATCAAAGTTAAATATTTATAGCACCATTTAAAAAAATTGATTTCTGCCCTGGCTGGTATGGCTCAGTTGTTTGGAGCATTGTCCTGTGCATCAGAAGGTTGCAGGTTCATTTCAAGGTCAGGGTACATATCTGGGTTGCAGGTTCCATCTCTGGTTGGGCTGCTACTGGAGGCAACTGATCGATGTTTCTCTTTCACATCGATGTTTTTCTCTCTCTCTCTTTCCAGCCTCCCTCCCCCTCTCCCTGCCTCTCTAAAGTCAATAAAAATAAAATAAAAATAACAATTTGATTACTACTTTTTTTTACTCTAAAGCTAAGCAGATACTAGTAGATGTACTTAATATGGTCTCAGATTATACCAGAAAAACATCCATATGCTAGCTAGTAAAATTTGTAATCTTTAGTATTTTGCATTTTCCTAATTTTATTACTGTTTTTAACTTTTAAACTTAAATTGTATGTATACATCTTTTCAATTCATGCAAACATACTTACTAGTACTTTAACTTGTAAATTGAGTAGAGAATTTAATTGTGCAATGTTAAAACTGTAGCATTTTAACATTAAACATTACAGTGAAATAATATTTTTGAAGTATGTTCCACGTGCTAGGCATATCTTACGGCACCTTATTTTATGTTTGTAGGGCGCGGCTATAGGGCTAAGCCTCAGACTGACCTGTTAGCAAAGCCACAAACAAGTACCAGCTTAGAGGGCACAGCCCTCTTAGCATAATTCGGTTTGACCTTATGATGCTCCCTAGATCTTATCTGGGTAGCTAATGGGCTGAGGGAAATGTAGCAAATGCTGCCAAAACAAGTGAACTCACAAGAACATT